GAGACAATAATTCCTTCAACACTTTATAATTTTTTCTAGACTCTTCAGGAGTCCCAATTTAATATCATCAACTCTTCAAGAGTTATAATTTAATGTCATTGACTCTTGCAAGAGATTTTAGTATGTTGCAACAATATCATAATGATAGTACTCACTAAGGCAATTTATATCATCCATTGGTATTGAGTACATATTTTATGTTTTACCCTTCAGATGCTTACTTCAAGCAATTTGAATCCTTCAAGGGTTTTCTACACTTCATGACACATTTTCCTTTGGAATTTATACAGAGCAATTTGCTCCCATGTATACTTGAGGGATTTACTTATGGAGATATAATGTGGGCGACTCACAACCCTTCGTATATAATTCTCCATTCATATGAACTCGTTTACAACCTTGTGTCATATCATGTAAGTGTATTACACTATATTACAAATGCCATATATAATCTCCTTGATTCAACATCTTTTGGCTATTTGTATTGTATTCAAATATATATAGGTTCATTTGCCCACGTTCTTACAAAATTGTAATGGAATTGCCTTTCTCCATTTTGGCCAATAATTTTCCTTTTGTCGACGAACAAAAGAACGTGACTCAATATTAACACAGCTCATTGATGAATTTAGTAGCTACTTGTAAAAACCAAAATTACCATTGGTTATCATCAATCCGTGATCCCATATTCTCATGTGCATGCGCATGCATAAAAGCTTTTCATTTCTTTGGATATCCATTGCCTCTTCAAGGGCATTACACTATCTCTTCCAGGATAGTCATAGTTTAGTTAGAGAATGCGGATCATAACCTCTTCTTGAGCGTTATAGAGCTTGGATTTTAATCTCCACTTCCAAGAGTTGAGTCATTTAGAACCTATACGTCAATCATGCTTCATGCATGAGACATCAATATTCCCATGTCTGTGGATTGTCCTATCTGGGACGTGTATCCACGCGGCGACTGTCATGCTTCTGGCATGCAACAGTTATGCTTCGGGAATGCAATAGTTCAGTAGTGCCATATTATTCTTCTTTCGAATAACTGAACCTTTTGAGTCTAAAAATCTGCCACGCTTCAGGCGTGCAACAGATAAATCATTTACTGTCTCATTATTTTATCCAACAGAGACATCAATTCTTGTAGGCACATTTGCAGTAAGTATATATGATTTCATCACTTTCGTTGCATCATTCAATTATTCATATTTCATTTTCTTATTGATTGCTTCGTGAATCAAAATAAGACAAATTCTCTTCGTTCTTCTGGAACAGTCTTTTCTCATCATTCTTTTGGAATGATATTTTCTCATCGTTCTTCTGGAACAATATTATTTTTCTCCCCCTAATGGCAGGAAAATTGTCTTATCAAAATGACAGTCCGCAAACCATGCGGTAAACATATCCCCAATCAAGAATTCCAAATATTGAATGATAGATGGTGTTCAACATCAATACCTAATCTGCAATGATGCCTCATTTCAGTACGTTGTGGCAGTCTTACAGGCACATAGACAACACAACCAAAAACTCGTAAATGTATAATGTTTGGTTGGTTCCAAACCCGAGTTGTACTGAGAAGTATTGATGGTCGGTAACATGTCTCAACCGAATTAATAATGCATCATGTAAAGTTTACATGTCCTCATGTAGAAAATTGGCAATTTCGTTTTCATGAGCAGAGCGCGGGAAATCAATTTCATTCGCTTAATAAAGGCTTCTGCTAAACCATTTTGAGTATGGACATAAGGAACTTCTGGTCCTTATTTAATAGTCTGTAAACTAAGACTCTTATGGCTTTTATTACAATTAAGTTAAGGCACTGCGGCACTTCAAACTTACGGTACTCATCTAGGAACTTCATGTCATGATCTTCAGGATCAAGGGACTTCATGCCAGATCCTTTTGTATGATGGAACTTCGGGTCCAATCATTTTATATGATGAGGATCAAGAAACTGTAGGTTCTGATCTGATCAAGGAACTTCAGGTCCTGTATATACTCATAGTAACAAAAGATAAGTACAATAAATAAATTAAAGCACTAGGCGGTAATTCCAACCATAGTAAATAAATTGCATTTAAGTAAATAAAGCTTGTGACAAGGGCTTTAATTCAGCACCATTCACATAAATCAAAACTTAAAGCAGTAGGCGGTAAAACCGTCCATGGTAAAATAAATTGCTTTTAAAGTAAATAAAGCTTGTGACATGGGCTTTAAACCAACACCATGCACATAAATATCAAAGCTTTAAAGCAAAGGGTAATAATGCTACCCACTGTAAATAAATTGCTTTAAATAAATAGAGCTTGTGAAAGTGTTTTAAGCCAACACCATTGACATAAATAAATATATATTTTCGTTTCTTATTCATTCACATGGTGCCGTGTACCATCCAATAATATTTGTTCTTTTCTCCTTTTGTGACAACATCATGCACCAAAAATCCACCTTTCCAATTTTTTTTTATTTATTTTTTATTTTATTTTTTTTCAGAATGGTGCAACTCACTTCCAAAACCTTTTTGTTTTTCTTTAAATAGTCCAACCGACACACCATCCATTTGCTCCCTTTTTCAATTTATATATGTATATTTTTCTTTCTTTCCAACTACCCAAAATAATCACACTTTTCTTTGTCTGCCACTTATAAGAAGATCAAACCGTTAGATTTAACTCAAAATTTAGTATGATATGGATAAGAAGATACCAAACAACTTTCGTGAAGAAACAGTTTCGAGCTGAGCTTCTGAAAATGAAGGTTTGGTACTCATAAGATGGCTGTCCAGTTTTCTGCGGAAATGGAAGCTGAGTTGAAGTTTCAGTCATCTACGACGATCGCACCGTTGACAATTTCTGAAATTTGGATATGTTCTAGGTACTAGGCGGACAAACAACTTTCAAGAAGAAAGTATTTCAATCGGATGTCAGGAAGTTGGAGTTCAGTGGCTATTTACATGGCTGCCAAATTTTCTGCGGATTTTGAGTCTGTAGTATTATTTCTAAGATATGGAATGATTTAACCGTTGGATGGTTCTGGAATTTTGGTATGTTATGGGAGAGAGGATAAGGAACAACTTTTATGAAGGAATGGTTTCTGTATGAGCACTGGAAGTTGAAGTTTCAAAGCTCATATGATCGTCGGATTTTCTGCCAATAATAATGACAATACTTATATAACCACATGTATATTTACTTTAAGAAAATTAGTCATTTAGAGATATGAGAATGAAATGAAAAGATTTTCTTATCTGTGAGATTCCAGCCGATAGATGTGAGAGGTAAGTAGTGCTTTCCACCGACATGAGAGCTTCTCGTGCTGATAACGTGTTGTAAAATCGACTGTGGGTGCAGTGGAATAAATGAAACAAGACACAAAATTTACGAGGTTCCTCTACAGTCAGTGTGACTGGAGTACGTCCTCGGGGCAGCAGTGGTGCTTTCATTATAATTTAGAATAATAGGAGTACAAAGATAACTCTCTCTATTATCTCCTCTTATCTTCCTCTATTCTCTCTCTTCCTCTTCCTTCTCTCTCTTCCTCTTCCTTCCTTCCTCTCTTCCTTTCCCGTAAACTCCTCTTATCTATCTATCTTTGTTGTGTTTCATAAGGCTTGCTTATATAGAAGCAAGTCACAAGCAGCATAGTAAAAGAAAATGAATGGGTTATTGGCCAGCCATCCATTCACCTTTACAACAAATTGGACACTACGAAAAAACAAAAACAAAAATAAATAAAAAAAAATTGGGAAGGGGTCTGTCAGACAACCGTGTGACCACCCCAGCCAGCTGAAGAGATGGCTGAGAACGATCATCTACTGCTTGAATGATCCGAGGGTCACAAGGCTGTTAATCACGCTCTGATCACACGGTCATGGTTCATCCACCAGACTGAGGTTCCTGTCTCCTTAGAAATCAAGGATACAGAGGTACAACCTATAGAACAGATCCTGTTCAAGTAAGGTCGTGAGCTGTGAGTACGGAAAAGACCATATAAAGGCTATTGTCGTTTTATGCAGCGTCGATGTGGGACTAATGTTGTTGTGCTTTGTGCATTTTGCAGCTCACAAATATCTGCCGAGGTTTTGCCTTCAATTCAACCACATTGAAGACAACTACTGTAAAAAGTAAAGAATTCCAATTCAGAAAGAGTATATACCTTTATTAATAGGTGGCTCGAAGCTGTATGAACATCTAATTGGCTGAAAAAGCAACCCTGCCAACAAAATCAAAGAGTTTAAACAAAATTGAAAGAGGCCTAAGCCTTATGGGTCACCGTGTAGTTGTACAGCTTGTAGGGTTGCGTAGGATTTTGATTTTAACATTTGTTCGGTTAAAACATATAAATTGCAATGAGTGAACAAGGAGGAGCACTCACAAGGTGGACGCGAATATTGTTCGTTATTATTATCCTTTGATAAATATGTATTTACTTGGAATTAGTTGGACTGACTTCTCTACGTTTACTGACACATATGAAATAAAAAAGATTATATATGCGAGTACGTATAGTTGATTCTATCCTCATTCATTCTCTTCCTTATTTATGTCTTCATGGATTCTCTTCCTTATTTATATCTTCTCAAGCTTCAAGGGTTGATTAAAAATTACAAACCAAAAGTATCTGATTAAAAAAAAAAAAAAAAAGCATGAACAGCAACTACACTACATATATATGTAGTGTGAGTTTATATGAGTTTCGATTGTTTGGTATCAAATTCTTCATTTAAGAGAGTCAAATCTAAGACCTCTTACGTATTTAAGATTGCGGGAAAAGATCACTAGATGATTGTACTAATCGCGAGAGACGAGCACAATGAGATGCATGTGGGCTTAAGACGTATTCAGTTGGGTGTGAGTCTTAAGATATGTGTTTTTGTGGCACGCCAGCACAAAGGCTTGCTTGCTAGCTTCAGGATCTGCGTATGGAAAAGTGTTTGCCTTTACTAAAGGTCCAATTTATTTCTGAGAACATTGAACCATAAAAAACAGAGGTTAACTATTAAGTACTATTGAGAAGCAACCTAATAGCGCACCGGACGACTGAGTAGGAGGTCTTATTATCATAAAAAACTGTCTCAAGGGTAGCATAACCCCTTGCATATCTGAATGATGCAGTGCCTGAAACCACTGAGACCTCTTTAACCCTCTCAAACTGGCGGCTGGTGCCTTGTAGCTCAAGGCTGCTGCCATCGTACCTATTGGTGAATGCAAGTGACATTGACACATGCACATTGGAGCCAGAAAAGGACGAAGCAACTAGAATGCCTTGAGCTCGACCTACTTGGGTCGATCTCTTATCGGGAGTTTCGGTGATGGGATCGTCAATGGCGAAAATGGTGCCGAATGAGGTGAAAGACTGAGGCTTGCCTTGGATGCCTGTGATAGGGACAACAGTTGCATTGGGTCCTGACGCCAAGTCTTGCAAGTAAAACACTATGGTGGTTTCTCTAGGACTTTGAGCTTTGGAAAGAGACATGAGCATGGCTAGAAGCAATGTTGACAAAACCGACATGAGTTTGGAGGGTCTTGAAAAGGAACTTAATGCCATTAGTGAAAATAACAACAAATTGAGCAGCAGAAGAATTTGAGTGAATATTGGAATTTTCTTTTTGCAACTGGGTTTGTTCATGCAATGGTTCCAATTTATGGAGAGATGGAGACGGTTAAAGTTGTCAATTTTCTGCTAGAAAATAGACGTTATGTAAGTTATGAACACAAGATTCTTGTTATTTTGGGACGTTTAAAAAGTAGTGACGGCCTGATGGGTATCTCATGTGAGACTGCTGAACATAGAGCATGCCTGTGGAGGTTCAAATTTAGGTTTAAAATTCAAGCATAGAGAAGACCAAAATCATACATATACGTATACGTGAATCCAAGAAAATGCAACGCAACAGTACATATAGGTTTCGTTTAATGTCTAGGATTGGCTTGGATTGAATAAACTTTAATTAAATGCACGTTGAGCAAAAACGTGGATGTCAACTTGCATATATATAGGTTGTCCAATTAGTTTTCTTCATGAAAATTATCTACCTTCAATTAGGGTTTGAGCGGTCATATCACAAATCGATTAAAATGGAAAGGAAGGCACATATAAGCGTTATATTATATATCATTTCAACTTTCATAACCTACATAAGTAAAAATAAACACCTTTATGTCACTCTTTCATGGATATTGGATATGCCGGTACTGTTCACTTTTAATAAAAAATCACATTTTTACCTTTATTTGTCATTTTTCATTAAAACTAAAGTTTTTTTTTGGACTTTCGTTAGTTTTCCTCTCTTTTTTGTGTGTGATAGAAGACTAAGGGTGCGTTTGTTGCACCGGACTAACTCGGACTAAGCTGGACTAGCTTAGACTAGACTAAGTTGGACTGGCTTAAAATAGACTTAGCTGGACTGGCTTAGACTATACTGAGCTGGACTGACTTAGTGAAGCGTTTGGTACAATGTCGGACTAAAAAGAAGGATAATAACAAATTACAATATTATATTTTTTAATTCATATCTAATAATATTATATTAATTAATTCTATCTTTTTTTATTCTAATAAAACTCTCCCTCTTTATCTCCCTCGTTCTCTCAGTCCCATGCTCTCTTTCGCTTCCCTCTTTTTTCCGATTAATTGCCAAATTTTTTTTTGCAAAACAAAGAATCGAGCTTGGTTTTTCAGGTTTTTGTTTGGTGCAAGATTCCAACTGGAGAGAGCTTTCCAAGTCCGTGGAGCGGCGGAACCGACCTGCAGTGATGCCTGGCGAGTTGATCGGCGACGAGTCGGGGTTTGTGAAGTCGGGGAAGTGAGAGACGGTGATGGCTTGGATTTCTTGAATTCGTTTCCATCAAACCCAATATTGCAGATTTAGAGATCTTTTGAGATGGAGAAGAGGGAGGAGGAGAGAGAGTGAGTCAGAGAAAGGGAAGGCAAGTAGTTGCTCAAGCCTGGGGCGAAGCGAAGCAACATGAATGTTTAAGTGTATTATTGAAAATATGTCTAAATAAAGTGTATCAAATGTAAAAAATGTGCAAGTACGTGTATAACGTCAGAATTTTAAAACATGTGCAATTTAATAAAACAATAAGACGTGTATGAAAAACATAAGTATTTGAAAAATACTTATGTATGTGTAAAATACGGGTCTTATACGCGAATTTACTAACCATGCGTGTGAGTATTGAAATTATTTTGATTTTTAATTTTATGTGTTAATTTCAATTTTTAAAGTACTGTTATCGACACTCCAAAATAGTTAAGTTGTACTACTTTCATGAAAAAATTTGCATAAAAAAAAAAACACATTAAAGAACTGCATAATGATTTTTTTAGGGGCAGAACCACTCCCTAAATTTAATCAATTTATGATTCACCAATGACAAGTTTTGATGTGGTAAGTATAATCCATCAAATTGTGTTGAGTTTTAAAGTACAATAGGTATTTATCTTTTAATTCACATAAATGACAAAGACACATATATGATGAGTTTAATTCTAAATTGTGTAATTTTGAAAAAAATAGGTTTTTATAACCAATGGGCTTTGAAATGTACCAAAATCTTTATTTTGATCTTTTAATTTCAAAATGAATCCATATCGCTCTTAAAATTAAGCACCACACATCAATTGAGTTCTTTCCATTAATTTCTATCAAGTGTTACGTAAATTTAGTGACTAGGCACACATGTACGGCCTACAAGTCCAAAATATGTTATTATCGATTTTCGGAAAACATTTGTGATAAAAACCGTTGAAAAAGGGAAAACAAAATTCATGAACGATGATATCATGATATTGATGGAAACCTTGAGACTTTCATGGTCCTGTAAGCCAAACATACTCCACCAAAATTATAAAATCCCAATTGGACACTAGGAAAAAACAAAAACAAAATAAATAAAAAAGAGTTGGGAAAACATTTGTGATAAAAACCGTTGAAAAAGGGAAAACAAAATTCATGAACGATGATATCATGATATTGATGGAAGCCTTGAGACTTTCATGGTCCTGTAAGCCAAACATACTCCACCAAAATTATAAAATCCCAATTGGACACTAGGAAAAAACAAAAACAAAATAAATAAAAAAGAGTTGGGAAGGTCTGTCAGACAACCGTGTGACCACCCCAGCCAGCTGAAGAGATGGCTGAGAACGATCATCTACTGCCTGAATGATCCGAGGGTCACAAGGCTGTTAATCACGCTCTGATCACACGGTCATAGTTCATCCACCAGACTGAGGTTCCTGTCTCCTTAGAAATCAAGGATACAGAGGTACAACCTATAGAACAGATCCTGTTCAAGTAAGGTCGTGAACTGTGAGTACGGAAACGACCATATAAAGGCTATTGCCGTTTTGTGCAGCGTCGATGTGGGACTAATGTTGTTGTGCTTTGTGTATTTTGCAGCTCACAACTATCTGCCAAGGTTTTGCCTTCAATTCAACCACATTGAAGCCAACTACTGTAAAAAGTAAAGAATTCCAATTCAGAAAGAGTATACCTTTATTAATAGGTGGCTCAAAGCTGTATGAACATCTAATTGGCTGAAAAAGCAACCCTGCCAACAAAATCAAAGAGTTTAAACAAAATTGAAAGAGGCCTAAGCCTTATGGGTCACCGTGTAGTAGTAGAGCTTGTAGGGTTGCGTAGGATTTTGATTTTAACATTTGTATGGTTAAAATATATAAATTGCAATGAGTGAACAAGGAGGAGCACTCACAAGGTGGACGTGAATATTGTCTGTTATTATTATCCTTTGATAAATATGTATTTACTTGGAATTAGTTGGACTGACTTCTCTGCGTTTACTAACACATATGAAATAAAAAAGATTATATATGTGAGTACGTATAGTTGATTCTATCCTCATTCATTCTCTTCCTTATTTATTTTTTTGGTCAAAGTTCCCTTCCTCTATTTTTTTATTGAGAAAAGGAAAAATAATACCGCACAAACAAACAAAACACAAGAAGAGCCCAAATACACACTAAGAACAAATGGACCAGCTCAAAGAAAGTCTTGGGGCCCAGCACAAACACACCACACAACAAAAGAAACCCTAAATCACAGCTGATGTAGCTGCTCCTCCAGCCACCAACACTTCCCAACAATTCGAAGCCATCTCTACCACAAGGGGCTGCCATCACACCATCTCGAGTCCCAGATAGACCTGGCATTTTCAACCTGATCCGACCCATTAAAATTAGTATTCGGATAAGTGTTAAACGGGTCGGGTGGTTAACAGGCCATTTTGGGTGAACCCGAGAAACCCGTTAACCACCCGTTAACACCCATCATTGGCACCCCAACTGCCATTGCTATTTCTGCAAGCATATCGTTTGCAAAACCTTGGTCAAGTGTCTGATCATCAAGACCTTGTTTTAGCTTGTCGAAAACTTGGAGCTGAGATTGTGAGGCCTCAATTTCCACTCTCTGCATTTCATTATGTAACCTATTCACCTGATCAGATATCCCAATAAGACGTCGGTGTTTGCAACGGACAGAGCAGCCAAAGACCTTCCGATATCCCTGGTAACATCTTGTACCTCCTTGACAATGTGCCGGCACTTGACAAGCAAGTAGAAGCGAGCTCGGTTTTTATACTTGTCAACCAAGTTGTTTGCCCTTTTAACATCTGCTTCGAGGGACTTTAAAGCAAGCCTGACTGCTTGAGAGTCATTGAATTCTTGACGATGTAGTTCAATGCTCGAGTAAGGAAAAATCCCACCGGCGGAGACAATGGTTTGATCACCGGAGAGAGATTGGTTGGCGGTGATGGAGTCGGTTGCAAGGGAGACTTGGTTGAGGTAGCAAAAGAAAACAACTGAAAGCACCAATCTTTTTTTGGTTTGGATGAAATGTTAAAAAAAAAATAACAAAAAAATTGTTAAGAAATGGGTGAAACAGGTGATTTATTATATTAACAGGTTGGGTTTGAGTGATCCGTTACCTTAACGGGTTAAGTTCGGATGATCTATTAAATTAAAGGGTTGGGTCAAACCTGACCCAAACTCAATAAACTCGACCCGTTTACAGGTCTAGTCCCAGAGTTGAGGAAGAAAAAAGCCGTTCCATCCTCCACGAACCACCAAAACGATCGCCGCTATAGAACAAAAGAAGCTCGCAGGAAGAGAAATCCCACAAACGACAGCGCCAACAAGGGCGAACAATGGGAATAACGTACAAGGGCCAACAAAGGTGGTGGTGCGAACACCCGAGTCAAAGCTCTACATACCTTCCCATGGAGCAGCGATAAATCGCGGTGAAAACTAGCGGAATAGAAATTAGGATTGGTGGAAAGAAAATGGAGCCAAGTGATGATGAGGGTATATGGGAAATGACTGAATGAGATGGATGAAACGGGTGAACGAGATTTGAGGCTCAGGATGATGAAAACAGAGGCAAACAAAATACTAGGAATATGAGATTGTGGGAAGATCTAGAAGTAAACGGGGCTGGGCTTATTACAAAAAACAAACGGAGAAAGACAAAGGGAAATCAAGGAACTACCACTAGCCTTGCCATGGCAAGAGCCGGCGTCGACGCA